CCTCCTCCTTGGCTCTTATGCTAGAACCCCAAGGTCGGCCCAAACTACACAATTTAAGGGAAGGAAAGGAAATAAGTGGAAACAAAACACATGCGGCAACTACAGAAGCCAAAGTCAGCGTTGAAATGCAGTCGTGCTAAGTGAGCAGTCGAGCATTTTGCTCCTTGCCTTTGCCCTTCCTCTTTGGAGATGCTTTGAAACGTCAGCATACAGCAAGCAGGAGAAACTTTTCCTACTGATTGAGTTCTTCCATAAAATCACAGAATCACAGAAAATGAGGGTTGAAGGGAGCTCAGGAGGTCACATCTAGTCCAACCCCCTGCTCCAAGCAGGACCAGCCCCAACTGGAAAAAAGGGTTTTCCCTGAAAATTTTCAACCAACCTTCTTCCTGGAAAATTATTTCAGTGCCATCTTCTCCCGTGGAGACTTCTTGAGGGCGAAGACGGTACTTAAAGAACAGGAACTTGGACACTCGAGGCCATCCATTAGAAACTGCAGAAATCGAAGACTCTGAAACCATCTCATTTCTTTTACTAGGGAGAGAGAGAGTTTTTAATACTTTCTCTGACCTGTATTACTTTGATTGAGAACCAAACCTGAGGTTAATGTCGATTTTGTAATGAACTGCACACAATGCTTTTCCGTCCTTTTCCATCACAACTATGAACCCATGGAAAGGTTGGGAATATGCTCAAGTTTCTCCCGGAAGTGCAGAGGCCTCACTGCAGTGCTAATTAATTTGTTAATCACTGCTCTCTTAGGTGCCCTCTGGGAAATTTGCAGTTCTCCTTATAAAGGTATTACTGTCTCAAGGTGCTATGGTCACATAGGGGAGTGGAAACGGAATAAAATGCAATGTTTTTAACTGGGACGGGGATAGATTGTCATTAGAGCAGATCTCCCGGGCTTAAATCAAAATTGGGTATCTTTGCCAGTCTGATGCACTTCAGCTCCAAGTCAGATTTGACTCAAGAGTTTAAACCAATCTATTTACTCAAAACATTCATTAATCACATCTAAGAACATCTTGATCTTTGGAGTCCCTCTGCAATTTCGCAACCTCCGTTGTACTTTGCACTCTGTGCCTGGGATCCTATGAATAAAAACTACACATGCTCTTAGGGCAAAATGCAAAGGTGAAATCATTCCTAATAAAAGCTTTGTTGGCATACCTGGAAAAAAAATAAGCAGCTTAAAAAAATAAAAAAGAACTCCTTTGACATGCTATCAGTTTGAACCCCTGGTCACCATCTCCTGATGTCTCTATGTAGACCCTTGCCTGGATTTTTGGAAGCAAGGGGTGGGGATCATCTTGATTTTGTACCTGGAAACCCCACTTGGTTTTGTCGTGCTCCCTAGTCCACGCCGGTTGAGAAATTCTGCGCAGAAGAACCAGATGCTGCCAAATCTGCCCCTACCGGGGCATGTGGGTGAGGAGGAGAGAATCAAAAGCCCCCAATTCACTTAACCCTTTGCTTTCACACAGTCTCCCTGTTCTCTGTCATGTCTGAAGAGATGAAAAAACCCCCCCCACAACAATAGTTATTTATATGCAAAGCCAGAAAGCACTGTTGTGATCAGGGCTGGATTAGCGCATAGGCAAACAAGGCATGTGTCTAGGGCCCTACAGGAAGAAGGAGCCCAGTTGTGCTTATTTTATATATTATAATTACTGAGTGGATATATATATATCTCCTAGATAGATAGATAGATAGTATTAAGTAGGGGCCCATGACTTTGTTTGCATAGGGCCCACTAAAGGGTTAATCCAGCCCTGATTGTGACCATCCATTTGGGCATCCTGCATAGCAAAAGAGAGCAAACTCTACCCATTTGTTTCCAAGTTATTCAGTAAAGCAGATTGTGTAGAAAGGTGTCTGGTCTTGACTTCAAAAAAGGATGGCACATTCTGTGCGCTCCCAGCCAGCTTGGCCCTTCTATTAAGAACTTACCCTTAGGGCTCATTAACACCGACTGTGTGTCAGGTGGAGGCATAGGCAAGCTTCAAAGAGCTCAGCACGGAGAGAACAGAAGGACTTCTGCAGAAGGAGGATTGTCAACTGCTTGGGGAACTTTAAACTGGGCTGTCTATGGGGTTTAGGCACCTCCTGGGTTCGGTGAGGGCTGAGCAGAGGTTGTCAGCATCACCACTTCGGAGTCTACCATCCCCTCCCAAGCCCATCTCTGGCTTTAGTGACACAGCTGGGAATGGAGCGTGGCTCTCCTGAGCTCCAGCTTAGCATCCCAGCAGCCAGCTGCTCAGCAGAGATCCTAATCCTTCTTCTGTCCCAAGGGACCTTAAACACGTCCCTTCATCTCCACCTGCCTCAGACTCCCCCCCTCTATAAAGCTGCAGCAAGTCTACCTTTCCCCACTCCGTTGCTGTTTGGAAAAGCGGGCAGAGACCCCCCAACAAAAAGGCTCCCAGGAAATGGAGCCTCTTGATGACTGGCTGGGAGTCACTTGAGGTAGGAATCGTTTGGTTCTCAAGGGCCACGTCTACACGTTCATTAATCCGCAGTGGTTACTGCGCATTTAATTCAGTACTTGCTTAATGAAATACTAAATAAGTGTGCAGTGACTACAGTTACTGCGCAGTCGTGCCAGCAAACGCCTTTTGAGTGACGCTACAGTGCATTAGCCTGATAATACGGTGTAGTCGTGTATTAGCACCGTCTGTGCTGTGACGCGCTACCACGCGGTGTGATTAGGCTACTGCGCATTATGTGTCTCTTATTTACGCGGCCAAGTGGTCCTTTCCATCCAGCGATCTGCACGGAAGGGACCAACACCTCCCTCCCCCACCCCCACACGCACACACACTTTTTGAGGAGCAAATAAAGGATGAAGAGGGTGACCCACGTGGAGTTAATACCGGAGCTGTGCACAGAATACAACTAGCTAGTCCAGGGGTCTAATCTATGGGCTGTGTCAGTATAGATCCAGGGGGCAGGTGTCTGCATCACACAAACACCCACCATGGACCCCCAGGTCAAGGGCTACACCAGCCTGAAAGGCTTCCTCAATATTACACTATACCTATGATGAGACCGCACTGCGAAATGGGTCGTCCCAGCCTCCTCTGCACCTCTTCTACTGAGGAGACAAGCGTCACCACTCAAGCGAGGCCTGACTCGGAGGTCAACGGTTCCATGTAGACCAGGGTGCTTGTGCCCAAAAGTTTGCAGTGAAAGAATTGTTTTCTTTGCAAAAATCTAGTTGGTCTAATACAAGATAGCACCTCTACCACAAGTTCAGATTCCCTTTGCCTTTAGACTGAAGCGGCTACAACCTAGCCGGGGGCGTCTGACCCAGCACTCTTTCCTGCCCAGGGCAGAGGGTCAGACTCGATGACCTACTGAGGTCCCTTCCGACCCGAACATCTATGAATCTATGGATACCTAACACAACGGTTCCAGGTATCACATAAGCTACCTCCGGGGGGTTATTCAAAGTGAAAAGGCCTCTCTGTACTCAGGGGGGCTGGACCCGATGATCCGTAAGGTCCCTTCCAGCCCCTAACAACTATGAAGTACAAAGTGCAGTGTGGAGACAATTCAAGAGATCCCCACTGCAAGGAGCCGTGAGGATCATGATATGCACGGCTAGGGCTTGCTGAGACAAAGCTGATGGCTCCTGGAGGGATTCAGTTTGCTCTCCTTACTCTACGCAGGGATTAAGGCAGGGTAGGGAACACTCTGTGAGGACACACGTTGCTTAGCCCTAGATCCACCAGCCCTGGAGCATTCACCATGGGTGCAGCGACGCAGAATGGATGCAGCAGGTCAGGCCTGAGGGGACTTTCAAATCAGAGAGCCCTGGGAAAAGGGTAAAGGGCCCATCAGGTTTTAGCAGCAAAAAAACCCCTTAAAACCTTCCACCTCATTGGCATGGTCGTGCTACCAGAGCCACACAGCAGGACATGAGATGAGCAGAAATCCCCGCCAAGCAGCACCCCGAAAGCCATGTCTTCGACCCTTTGCATTCCCCTTTGAAATCCCGGGGTTGAACTCATGGGTCCCGTGTAGCTATTTGCATGAAGAGCCTTTTCGAGAGCATGGTGCCAATCCCATACAGTTACCAGCTGAAGGTCCCACCTAGCAAAATAACTAGTCTTCTGACCTGAGCCTTGGCGGTAGCCTCCTGCGGTAGCCTTGTCCGTGGTACCACAGGAGAACGGAGGAGCCAAAAGGCAGAAAACAGCAGCAAAAGCCGGCCTGCCAGCCCAGCCTCCACAGCAGCGCTCCCTCCTGTTGCTGAACTGCGAATAACCCAGGCAGAAGGACATCCCCTTGCACCTCCAAGCTGCTTCTCACCACCTTGCCTTGCCCCTGGGATAAGGAGCCTGAATGGGCCCGTGCTGCACTGGATGATGATTTGGACTCTGCACGATTCCCTTGCCCCCCCACTAAAAAAAAAAGGGTATAACTGCCTGCAAGGGGTTTCTTCTTCAAAAGATGTTAGCAATGGGCCAGGTGCCAGAGAGCATCAGGAACCTTGCTGTGGGCTGCAGCGCCTGCATCTTCCATTGCCAGCAAAACAAGGAAGGCTCATTTCCCCAGCAGATGGGAGGAAGGGAGTTTGCTTTTTTTTTTTTTTTTTCCTATTGCTTTGGTTTATGGCAAGACTGGCTGGCCAGGGCGAGTCCTCTGTAGTGCTTAGGAGCTGGCAAGGTGCTGGGGGTCGTGTCAAGCAGCAGAGCCCCTCTCCAAAGAAGCACCAGGGGCTTGCCAGCTTCTGCCTGGGAAGAGCAGTGCTTTTGAGGAGCCGCATTGCAAACCATCCCTACCCCTGTCTGCAAGACCATGCAGTGTGCAGGCAATCTGGGGTGGGGGGAGAGGCCGGGGGCTTCCAAATAGGCACTGAGGAGGAATTAAAGAGGATCTGGAGGCTTTTCCAGAGGCAGAGAGATGCCTCCATCCCCCTGTGGATGGCAGCATTTCACCTGTGCCTTGGAGAGGCTCCCAAGATGCCTCTCGCGGGCTCCCTGCCTCGTGATCCAGGGCTGGGAAGCAGCAGGGACAGGTCCAGCACCCAGGTCTGGTGCTCTCTGTGGGAGCAAGATGCCTTTCCCCGGAGAGACGTGGCTCAGTCCTTACCTGGGCACTGCAGTGCTGTGCTGCTTGGTGGTCACCATCTGGCTGCTGCGCTGGAAGAGGAGAGCAGCGCTCTGGAAGCAGGTGGAAGAAGCCAGGAGGAAGAGAGAGCAGAGGCTGGAGCGGATGCAGAAGGTTGCCTTGACATTTAGGGAGCAGGTAGGTGCCCCAATCGGGGCTGCCATGAACCCCACAGGAGAGACCACAGACTGCCCAGCACCCTGCACCCTCTCCCAATGGGCTGGAGATGACCGTTCCCTTAGTTCAGTGATTCTCTGTCCCCTGGGGGGCTGTGAGATCCTTTTAAGGGTGTCACACAATATTTGGGGTGCAGCTACACACAGCTGTGGGGGCATTGCCAGTGGATCAAGGGCAGTGATTTGTCCCCTCTATTCAGCACTGGGGAGGCCACATCTGGAGTCCGGTGTCCAGCTGTGGGCCCCCACTACAGAAGGGATGTGGACACATTGGAGAGAGTCCAGTGAAGGGCAATGATAATGGTTTGGGGACTCGGGGGCATGACTGGGGAGGAGAGGCTGAGGGAACTGGGCTGATTTAGTCTGGAGAAGAGATGACTGAGCGGGATTGAATAGCAGCCTTCACCTCCCTGCAGGGGGGCTGCAAAGAGGATGGCGCTGGGCTGTTCTCAGTGGGGGAGATGGCAGAAGGAGCAATGGGCTCAAGCTGCAGCAAGGGAAGTTGAGGTTGGATATTAGGAAAAACTCTCTCACCAGGAGGACAGTAAAGCACTGAAGCAGGCTGTCCAGAGAGGTGCAAAAAAAAAAAGTTTTAATATTGTAGATATATGGGACTGGCAATGTTATCAATTGAGGATGAACTATTTAAACACATCAATACCACAGATGTGATAAAGACTTTTGCAACAAGTCTGATTATTATTATCATTATCTCTGGTAAAAGGGGGCCCGCTAGTAAAAGCTCACCTGGGGCAGCCAGGAGTCTAGGTACATCACTGGTAGCAGGGGGCATGGTCTCTACCTGGGATCTCTTGAGCATCTTAACATTTCATAGATAATAAAGGGCAAGCTGGCTGCTGTGGTCCCCCAGCTTTACCTGTGCCAGGTTAGGGTGGTAGGTCTGTGTTGTGTCAGGGTTGAAGGCAGTCTCATGTAGAGTTTAGATTATGGATTGTATGGGATGGTTTGGATAGAGATGATCCTGCCTGATGGCAGGGGGTTGGACTAGATGACTTCTGGCGGTCCCTACTGAATTCTCCAGCTTCTCTGGAAGTGTAAGGGAAGAGGTGATCCCTGGGGCAACTGGTAAAGGAGGAACCATGCAAACTGCATGGCTTGTTTTCTTGGCACCTACTGCATGTTTCTTCACTACCTTTGACCCTACACAGTCAGGTTGCTATCATGGAATCAAGCTGGAAATAACCCAGCCCATTGTGGGAGCCAGAAGGCAGGCCGTGGGTAGGAGAAGTTAGAAACCTGCAGGTCTAAAGTTCTGGGGGAGGTACCGGAGACATCAGAACAGCTGGAACGTATTCAAGAACAGCCCGATGCAGACACAATCAATGCAAACTGGCATAATAGATAAGGAAAGCATATAGCAGAGGGGATCAACTCTCCAGATCAGCAGAGGGGATCAACTCGTGGTGCTCTGGAGAGGTGCCGGAGGACTGGAAGAGGGCCAACGTGGTTCCCATCTTCAAAAAGGGGAGGAAGGAGGACCCGGGAAACTATAGGCCAGTCAGTCTTACCTCGATCCTGGGCAAGCTGTTCGAGAAAATTATTCTGGCACACATCCAGGAGGGGCCAGCAGGGAAATGCATGCTCAGGGGCAACCAGCACGGGTTCATCAGCGGCAGGTCACGTCAGACCAACCTGGTGGCCTTCTACGATCAGGTCACTAAATCATTGGATGCAGGGGTAGCAGTGGATATAGTCTTCCTGGACTTCCGGAAGGCTTTCGACACTGTCTCTCACCCCGTTCTCATTAGGAAACTGGGGGACTGTGGCGTAGACACCCACACAGTCCAATGGGTCGCCAACTGGCTAGAGAGCAGCACCCAGAGGGTGGTAGTGGATGGGTCTTCTCGGCCTGGAAGGACGTGGGCAGTGGGGTCCCGCAGGGCTCGGTCCTCGGGCCCGCCCTGTTCAACATCTTCATCAGTGATTTGGATGAGGGGGTGCAAAGCACCCTGTTCAAATTTGCTGATGACACCAAGATGTGGGGGGATGTGGGCACAATAGAAGGGAGCAACAGGCTACAGTCGGACCTTGACAGGTTACAAGGATGGGCGGAGGAGAACAGGATGGGGTTCAACACAGACAAGTGCAAGGTGATGCACCTGGGGAGGAACAACCAGCACCATACCTACAGGCTGGGGAACTCCCCTCTTGTCAGCACGGAGGTGGAAAAGGAGCTTGGAGTCATTATTGACTCCAAGATGAACATGGCTCGGCAGTGTGGGGAGGCGGCTAGGAAGGCCAACTGTACCTTGTCGTGCATCCACAGATGCATTTCAAGCAGGACCAAGGAGGTGATCCCCCCCCTCTATGCGGCACTGGTCAGGCCGCAGCTGGAGCGCTGCGTCCAGTTCTGGGAGCCGCACTTCAGGAGGGATGTGGACAGCATGGAGAGGGTCCAGAGGAGGGCCACTCGCATGATCAAGGGACAGCAGGGCAGGTCCTATGAGGAAAGGTTACGGGACCTGAACCTGTTCAGCCTCCAGAAGAGAAGGCTGAGGGGGGATCTTGTGGCCTGCTATAAACTAGTCAGGGGGGATCAACAGGCACTGGGGGAGTCCCTGTTCCCCTGAGCGCTGCCAGGAGTGACCAGGAATAACGGTCACAAGCTGGCGGAGGGAAGGTTCAAGTTGGACATCAGGAGGCGCTACTTCACGGTCAGGGGGGTCGGACTAGATGATCTGCCCAGGTCTCTTCCGACCCTAGAAACTATGAAACTATGAAACTGTTCTGGCAGGTGTGCCACCGATTAGCCCTTCAACCCTCCCTAAATGCCACTCGTCCTATCCCCCATCTGATCTGCTGCTCTGCTTTCTGCCCCATCTACCCCTGTGCTGCCTGTCCTCTCCCCAATTGTCTGCACCAAGGCTACCTGTGTCCCTTCTGGCTCAAGTGCCACAGGTTGGGCACCCCTGGCCTCTAGGATGGTCCAGCCAAACCTCATATAATAGGGATGTTGTATCCTGGTCTCCAGGATGGTCCAGGCCAACCTCAGGGGTGGTGTGTAGGGGTGTTATAATGAAATAAGTTCATTCATCAGTAGATTGTAATGTGCTTGGCACATAATCTGATGGATCATGTGTGGGCAATGATGTGGGCTTGATAGCAGCACTTGTTACGTGTAAAGAAAGTAGAAAAGGAAAGCACTTTGGATTGGAGTTTCACCCCGCACTATCCCTGCTGTCAGGCAATCTGATCACCGGGCTGATAGTAGGAAGTTTATGCTCGCCGAATAGCTGCTGCAGGCTAACAGGTCCTTGGAGACCAATGTACAACAAGCCCTTGAGATGAAAGTAGAGTCCCACAGCTGGAAATCCAAATGAAAGGGGGTAGGCATCCTTTCTATTAATCCCTGCCGCAGAAACGTTACAGCCAGACAAGAAGTGACCTGTGATTTTTTTCTTACCCGCTGCATGTCAGGTCCAGGAATCTGTTACTTGTGGCTCATCCTGATCTGTGCAAACTGACATCCATACATGCAAAACCCATACCTGTGGGTCTGCATGTATGGACTCTATACACTTAGACCCAGCTAAGGGCACTTAAAAGATGAGCGATCACATGTTAAAGCTACAGTCAAGCCTGGCAATGGATCAAAAGGTTTGCCAAAGTCTGCTTCATCGTGTGTCTCAGAGTTTCAAAACACGGCAGAGATTTATTCAGAGAGGGGGGTAGCAATGACAATGCCAAAATCAGTTTATGATTAATGATTGCATTCTGTCATCTCTGCTGGCCTTTGCCATGATCTCGGAGACAGGCCTGGAGCTCTCACAGCCTCCCACTACTGCCTCCAAAGGGGTTTGTAGGCCATCCATCTCTTCTTTTTGCACATTCCTTCCATTTTGCCCTTACACCTGCCAGCATCTGTACTCATTTTTTTTTAACCCATGAACCACTGTCACCCTTCAATATTTCTCCCAGGCCACCATGCACCCTTCACATCAACTGCTGAAAACAATTCCTGGGTTAAAAATCCCTGATCTAGGCCATTCAAATGTCGCAATAGAATCTATGTCGGAGTGTTTCTATAGCCCTGATGGTCCGGGAAATATATGAGAGTCAAGGATTTTTACGTAATATCTTTTCCTGGGCCAACTGTAGCTGAGAGAGATGTTAGACAAGTCTTGTGCTGGGAAAGAAAAAGCTCCAGCTTGAGCTAAATGAAATCTATATGTTAGTGCCCGATTTCAATGGTGTGTGTAGTGGTGCAAGGGGGAGTGTTTGGGGTTTCTTTTAATGCAACAGTCTTGAAAAGCCTGGCTTTTTTCACTAAAGGTGGGGTTAGTTGTGCTGGTTTTTGCAAACCCAGCAAAGTTTGAACAAACTTAAAAAAAAAAAGCCTCAAGCAGATAATAAACCTGGTGCATTTATTGGAAAGCTATAAACCCCCCATTTTTATCTGCCCATAAACTGTCACAACTGTACTTATGTATGTTTGAGGTCCGAAAAGGGATTGCAGGGATGTTTTGCAACTTTGCCATCAACAGGTGCCTATACATGTGACAATTGTCACCATTTAAAGCACTTTAAAGCTATCACTCAATACACATGGGACACTTTATAATGTTTTTTAAATGGCAGAAGTCACTTTAATTAAACCTTGTTGTATGTGTTTTAAATCTAAGGCAAACTGTGGTAATACAGCTCAGCCGATCTAGGTCGTCTTTATTGTACATGTATTTAACTGGGGCAACACAGAAGGATTGCTTCACCTGCTGCTGAAATGCAGATGCTTCTGGGGTGGAACACAACATCTGTTTCAAACCTCTGTGCTGTTCTATGGTATTTCTTTGACCATAAAGTCCAGCTCCTGTTTTTCCTCCCTCCCTCCCTCAGAATCCTGGGGTAGAAGCTGATCGCATCCTCTCTCTCCCTCTCGTGGAGCTCTCTGAGGAACTCAGGAACGGGTCTCTTCCTCCAGAACATGTCCTTTACACCTACCTGGACAAGGTAAGAAATGCATGTATTTGCAAGGCTGGTTGTCCCCCATGTTATACCTGACTTGAGGATCAGGGGGAGGGAGGGACAGGTGTCTAAAAGAAGGATGCTCTTCACTGCAAACAGAGCCAATTCCCAAAGCTCCCTACATTGTCTAATGTTCAACAGAGTGAATGCTTTGGGTTACCCCAAATTCAAGGTGGCCCCAAAGAGAGGGAGTTGTAATGTTTGTGCCTACAGAATTAAGAATCCTTTTTGGGTGGGGGATTTCTACTTGTGCTATATGACAGTTCCTACTCCCCTGAGGTCATGATGCTCCTTTCCTGATGTGGTGTGTCCTTAGCCTCTTCACAATCTGACTCCTGGCTTGTTAGGACTTGCATAGTTGTTCATTACTCCCTGCTACAGAAACTGCTGGGGAGCCTTCAGCAGCTTGGGAGAAACAAAGGTCAGTAAACCATACCTGTGGGTTTGCATATATAGACTCAGACCATACTAAGGGCACTTACAAGATGAGCGATCACATGTTAAGTGCCTTCTGAACCTCTCAAAGTTACACCACTTCAAGAGAGGGTTAACTCTGGGCTGTGCGACATAGCTTCTGTGAGGGTAACTTCAGTCTGCTCCAAGGAGGTAAAACAAGCAAATTGCAATTCTCTGGCATCCCAGGTTGCACTACTCCCAGCACCCCACCACCCATAGCAGGGATAAGACCCAGGCATCCTGGCTGCTCACCAGCTCTGTAGTGGCAAGTCAGAGCGATGCAAGAAAGAAATGGTATTAACTTCTAATGTGCAACTGCTCACAGCATGTGCTAACTTTAACACTGGCTAACATTACACAGATTTAGCATGTCGAAGTGTAACGTGTAACTTCACCCTCAGTGAAATCACCAGTGAGACCTCACCTTGACATCCATATCCATGAGTCATATGGGTATGAGTTATATGGGTTAAGTGAGCAGTATTTTATGGAGATGTAAAGCACTTTGGGTTTTTTGTCTTTTCATTGTCCTCCGTGATCAAGAGGGAGGGAAAGAGAATAAAAGAGCATTCAAAAAGGGCTGGGAGACACTCAAGGCTGAATAGATTTACTGTATTAAAACCATATAGCTAAAATAGTCAATAGCTGATTCATTACGATGATTATAAAATGAGATTCTCAAGAATCTTATCAAAAGCAAACTCCTGGTCTGTGCCACACCAGCCGGTGCAAAACTTCATAGCTCTTCTGAGATGCATCATTTTATATAATTTGCGATGTGGCCCAGTGTTCTTTCCCTTGTGACCTTTTGGCATAGTTAGGGGAAAAATTGTCCTCGGTAAACCTGCCCGAAAAACCTGGGGAATTTGGCACTACAGTGAAATCTGGTTAATCAATCACTGGCATAAATCAGGACACTGTGGTCTGTCGATGTATTTAATCCCTGCCAGAGTCCTGTGATTTGTACACAGAACAATTTGGCTAATTTGTCAGCTGTTAAAGCGATATTAGTCTTGCTACATAGGCTCCCAGACTAAATCACAGTGGCGTTTGCTCCTGCTAATTAGTCACCAGACCAACCTGGTGGCCTTCTATGACCACAGGTGACGACCGGGTGAGGGGACTGTGGGTGCTCGACCACCTGGGCGATAGCGATCATTGCCTATTGGAATTCACCATCCAGCACAGAGTGGCAAAGGCCTGAAGTAAGGCCACAGCCCTGGACTTCAGGAGGGTGGATTTCATTGAGCTAAGGAGACTAGTCATGGAGGCACTGAGGTCCTGGAGGGGTGGGGAGTTGAGAGTTCAAGATGAGTGGTTGTTCCTGAAGGAGACGATCCTCCAAGTCCGAATGGTAGCAATCCCAACATGGATCAACGGGGGCAAGAGTGCTCAAAAGCCCCCATGGCTCACCAAAAGCATCCAGGAACGTCTCAAAGCTAAAAGGGAGGCATACACCTGATGGAAGGGAGGGTCTATCACCAGGAAGGACTATACCTCTGTTGCTCAGGGCTGCAGGGGGGCGGTCAGGAAGGCCAAAGCGGGGATGGAACTGGGACTAGCAACCTGGATCAAGGACAATAAGAAATCCTTTTTTAAATACATAGTGGGTAAAAAGAAGGTTCTGGGTAATGTGGGGCCTCCGCAAGACATGCTTGGAAACCTGGTGGTCAGCAGGTCCTGACGATCTCCACCGCAGGGTGCTGAGGGCACTAGCAGAGGTCATTGCGGGCCCCCTGGCACGGCTTTACAAGCGCTCGTGGTGCTCTGGTGTGGTGCCAGAGGACTGAAAAAGAGCCAATGTGGTCCCCATTTTCAAACAAAGGGAGGAAGGAGGACCCAGGAAATTATAGGCCTGTTAGTCTTACCTCGATCCTGGCTAAGTTCTTTGAGAAAATTATCCAGGTGCATATCTGCAAGGGGCAAGCAGGGGAATGTATGCTTAGGGGCAACCAGCATGGGTTCATTAGAGGCAGGTCCTTTCAGACCAACCTGGTGGCCTTCTATGACCAGGTCAGAAAATCCTGGACATTGACACCTACACAGTCAGATGGGTCACTAATTGGCTGGAGGGCCACACCCAGAGAGTGGTGGTGGATGGATCATTTTCGACTTGGAGGGATGTGGGCGGTGAGATCCCCCAGGGTCCAGTCCTTGGACCCACACTGTTCAACATCTTCATTGGCGATTTGGATGCGGGGGTGAAAAGCACCTTGTTCAAATTCGCAGATGACACTAAGATGTGCGGAGAGGTGGGCACACTAGAAGGGAGGGACAGGCTGTAATCGGATCTGGACGGGTTACAGTGGTAGGCAGATGAGAACAGGATGGGTTTCAACACTGACAAGTGCAAGGTGCTGCACTTGGGGAGGAGGAACCAGCAGCAGACCTACAGGCTGGGGAATTCCCTTCTCATCAGCACAGAGGCAGAAAAGGATCTTGGAGTCGTTATAGACTCAAAAATGAACATGGGCCACCAATGTGGGGACACAGTCAGGAAGGCTAACCACACCTTGTCATGGATCCACAGATGCATCACAAGCAGGTCCAAGGAGGTGATTCTCCCCCTCTATGGGACACTGGTCAAGCCGCAGCTGGAGTACTGGGCGCTGCACTTCAGGAGGGATGTGGCCAGCATGGAGAGGGTCCAGAGGAGGCCACCCACATGATCCGGGGGCAGCAGGGCAGGCCCTACGAGGAGAGGCTACGGGACCTGAACCTGTTCAGCCTCCACAAGAGAAGGTTGAGAGGGGATCTCATGGCCGTCTATAAACTTACCAGGGGGGACCAGCAGGTTATGGGAGAGTCCCTGTTCCCCCGAGCACTACTGGGAGTAACAAGGAATAACGGCCACAAGTTGATGGAGAGCAGATTCAGGCTAGACATCAGGAGGCACTACTTCACGGTCAGGGCAGCTAGGAGCTGGAACCAACTTCCAAGGGAAGTGGTGCTCGTTCCTACCCTGGGGGTCTTCAAAAGGAGGCTAGATAGACGCCTTGCCGGGGTTGTTTGCCCCCAACATCCTTTCCTGCCATGGCAGGGGTTCAGACTTGATGATCTGCTCAGGTCCCTTCCGCCCCTACCAACTAGGAAACTATAAGTTTCTGCCATGCATCTTCTAGCCAAATGGTGCCCACAAAGCATTAGATATTCTTCAGCTTTTCTGGGCTCCTCTAGCAGACAATCAAGCATTCCGTTTTACAGAAGTATCTTCTCTTTTGGCCACAAGTGCAGAGCAAAAACCTTTGACTAATTATTTTACTCCATCATCATATCATTTCTATAGAAAGAAACCTCATCAAGAGTTTGTCTACATCATCTTGGCAGGCAAGGTTCTTTGGGTAGATGTGGTATCTTTTATTAGACCAACAAAATAGTTGGAAAAAAGCTCTTTGTAAGCTTTCGGGTGCAATCATCCTTCATAGGGAGTCTTCCCTATTCCTGAAGAAGGGTAATTACACCCAAAAGCTTGCAAAGAACTTTTTTCAAGCTACTCAGTTGGTCTAATAAAAGATACCCAAAGAAACTTGCCTGCTTATGTTCTTAGACCAGCATGGCTACAACCAAAAACTCTGCATCATCTTATAATTGGATAGTTAGGCATTACTACTAATCCCTTTAGAGTGGCAAATCAACCAGATTTTACTGTGTTTCTTGCTCGGAGGAAACCAGCTTCAAAATTCAGCTGGCTTCCGCCTCCAACCTCTATCCTCCTCCTGACGGGCTTTATCTTTTCAAAGGCCTTTCAAGTGAACAAGGACATCAACTGTCTGACTGACTATCTCCAGGAGTGCGAGTCTCAGCTTCAGGAAGTGAAGAAGCAGGAGAAGAAGGGCTTGTTGTACGGGATCCCGGTCAGCGTGAAGGATTCCATTGAGTGCAAGGTATAGCAAGCATCGCTTTTGTGGCTGAAATTTTCAGAGGAGATCAGTCAATTTGGACATTGAGATGGATTGGTATCATCTTTAGATCTTCATGGTTTCCAATCTCAGTGGTAATCCCCGCTTTTGACCTATTTGAGGATCACAGCGGTTAAGAGAAGTCCTCCTGACAGTTTCCCTAGGGCAGGTCATGCTCATGAAACAGTCTGTCTTTCAAAAAGTTCCCTTCTCGTTAAGAACCAGACTGCAGGCATGTGAACGGCATGAATCAGAAAGTAGTATCCCAAGGACAGAGCTATGTCCAGGTCACAATCTTGCTCTTTGCAGTATCCCAGCAAGTGGGAATATAGCCAATTTTCACATTGTCACGTGCCTAGCCAAGCCAGTTACAATACCTTTCTTGGACTTCCACAACTTATGTGACAGGTTGTCTCCATAGGCATATCCGTTTACTCAGTGCTTATTAACACAGTCCAACCGCATCATAACCAACCCCATTCATCACCAACCCCCATTTGAACAATCCCAACAGCAGAGAAGGATTTCTTTTCGCATTGTTACGATGCAGCAAATTGGTTCTCGCTTTTATACTGAAGGTTCTCCTTTAACGAGTTTTTCTTCTGGTCCCATTGCGGGTGGGGAGTCGTTATATAGAGCTTGTACCATGAAAATATCCCAATTCACATTTCATTAAAAACCAGACCACAGAACAAGCTCCTATGAGTATATGGTGCCAATCATTGCTCTTGAAGCGTGAAGGAGGTTTCAAATCGGGCCCGGCTACCTGTGTCTGCTTTCTGCTTTTCAGGGACATGATTCCACAATGGGGTTTCTGAAGAATCTCAATCGTCCTGCTGCCGAGGACAGCGTGGTGGTCCAGGTCTTGAAGAGACAGGGCGCCATTCCCTTTGTGAAGAGCAACGTACCTCAGGGCTTGCTGAGGTAAATTGGAACAACTTTCGAATGGATCGAGTTTTCATGGCCAAAGCAAATATCTTCTGCCGACTTTTGGGCCAGGGTTATGTTGAACTAGATTTTCAATCGGTTAAAAGTTTCCTAAGGGCTGCTAAGGACACATCTTGAAAACATTCCAAATGTCACTGAAAAAGTAATGGCGGGGTCAGCTATTTCTTTTCCCCCTCCAATTTCCCCTATTTCTCTACCACAGGGGTGGGCAAAATGTGGCCCAGGGGCCGGATGCAGCCTGCCTGGTCATTCTATCCAGCCCGCGAGACCCCTAAAAAATTTAGAAAATTAATATTTATCTGCCCTGGGCTACCTGTCACGCGGCCCTCGATGGCTTGCCAAAACTCAGTAAGTGGCCCTCAGCCCAAAATAATCTCCCGCCCCTGCTCTACCAGCGACTATTCCAGCTGTGAAGGTACTCTAATTTCAATCAAATAAGGGGATGTTATTCACTCTACTATTACCATATCTCCTTGCATGCCATGTGCCCTCAAATTAGACATGCACTGTGTTTTGGGAAGGCTGAATAAAATACAAAGATTTTTCTTGCGTCATGGCTAAATCCTAACCACGGGGGATCCTGACCACATGGCTAAATCCTGGTCAGAGCTGCCTGGCTAAAAGCTACTGCCAATTTGGCAGCAGCTGTGAAAGGGTTAAAATGAACGATGATGCTGAACAGTGCACGCCACCCCTCCCCTCCCCTTCCACGCCAGGGCAAGAGAGCCAGTCCCAGCAGGCATTATAGCATCCCTATGCATCATTAAGTGCAGAAATTTGCTTCCTTGCTTAAGACAAGCACCTACATTTTGGAAGGCAATTTTTTGGGGAGGGGAGAAGGTACACGTGGCATGCAAGTAAATACAATATTTTTCCCATTTTAAGGCCTTCCCCCCAGTAAAAAACTGGGGAAAAAAAGACTTAATGACAAACAGCTTCTGCTTGCACAACATATGCCTTTTTGACAAATCTCAAGTAAAAAATACTGCACTGAAGAAATTTCTCAGCGCTATACCAAGGACCTGACTAAAGGCTCCTTTGGACTTCACTGGTCTCCAGACCAGATCACGAAGTAAGTAAACACTGAAGTTTCTTTCTCGTTTTAGCTATGACTGCAGTAACGTCATCTTTGGGCCTACAGCGAACCCTCTGAACCACACCAGATCACCCGGTGGTTCCAGCGGTGGAGAAGGGGCCCTGATCGGGAGTGGAGGATCCATCCTGGGCATTGGGACTGATATAGGAGGGAGTCTTCGAATCCCAGCTGCTTTCTGTGGGATCTGTGCATTTAAACCCACTGGGTCCAGACTCAGGTACCCCAGACACCTTGGTCCTTTGCCCTGGCAGCAACCTAGGCTTCAATGAAGATCACTCTAAAGTGAAATCTCAGTGAGAGGGTCAGGAATTAACCCATGGGTAGGAAGTATCCATGCCTGGTAGCAGCCTGACAATGCCAGCACATTCAGTGAGAACATCTTTAAGGATATTTTCATGCTAGTCTTTTATAGACGAGATTTCTGCAACTCAAAGGTCTCTTTTTCCCCCATCTAAAAAAAGGGACCCAGGCAAAACGCTCTTTCAGTGCAGTTCCCTTCACCCCACGTGTCCCTATGCAAGCAGAGGTTTGCATTTCCAAAGGAAACCAAAGGCATTAGGAAGTCCACTTCTATTACTGTAGAAGATGAATAACTAGTTTTCCCTTGGGCCTCTTGCAAGTTCCCAGCTGAAAGCTTTAACGTTCAGTCTTTTTTTCATATGCCAGGGACTTCAACCTAGGACATTTCAGTCCCAGATAAGAATGTTTTGGGGGAAAAAAGTCCTGGCTTGGGACTCCGAGAACTTTGGCTGTAGTTTTTGCTACCTAAATCTTTTAAAACAGGCCTGAATTATTTTTCCCCATAATCTCAGGATCTCTGTTTATTTTTTGGTTCTTGCAAGCTAGAACACAGCATTCTAGTCTGTGTGTTTGTAGCATGTGCCAAAGAAGGGCAAATGTCCCATTTGTTGTCAGTCTTACTCACAACCACCCTTCCCTGTTAAAAGCAATCTTTCTTCTGCTGTTTGTGCTTCTGTGTTCTTTCCACAGCCAGAAAGGAATGGTTGCCATTCTTCGGGGACAAAAATCAGGTAGGATTTTTACCACCAATGGTCTCCTGAAAAATAGAATCATAGAAAAGTAGGGCTGGAAGAGACCTCTGAAGGTCATGTAGTCGAACCCCTGCCTGAGGCATGATCATCCCTATCCAAACCATCCCATACAAATCCACTGTCTCACCTAGTAGTGAAACTACACAGTCAACCCTGACACAACCACAAGATATAACAGCCTAACCTACCACAGGAAAAGGAGGGGGACAATGCCAGGAAATGGGCACATCTACACGTGCGTTTAATTTTAATGTGCATTAAGCTAATGTGCATTAAGCAAATTTTGGCAGGTGTATACACATGCAGAGACTTGGCACTAAAGTTAGTGCCAAGTCCCTGCAGCCCTGCCATGTGCCCCTAGTCGCTGGGCAGACCCAGCACTAAAGTTAGTGCCAGGTCGCATCTACACGTGCATTAATACGCTTGGACTAATCACACCTAAATTTGATGCCTGAGTTCCTCCTGTTTGTTCCCCATACTCCGAGCATTGGTAAAAAGGCATTTAAGGCCTTGCATAGCTGTGCTTGCCACCCCCCGATTAGGAAGACTATCCGGACCCCCGTTTCTTCTGCCAAAGGCTTTGTGGTCTCTTTCAGGAGATCAAAAGAAGAACCTGGCAAGACAGAGCCAGAGAGCTTCCTTTGGTATCCTCTCTAAAAGCGATCTTGGATGTATTTGGGTTGGGCTTGGTTGACCATGCTAATGATGCATGGGGAAGTGGGACCCAGCAGGTCTCAGAAAGCAGAAGGTCTCGGACCTCTACCCTTGGTCCTCTGCCCAGTACTTGCTACCATAGCCATGTGACCAGGTTCACCCTGACAGCAAGTATGTCTCTTTGTTAGGCTACTGGAGGTGATGTGTTGGCAGCATGCCTATGGAGACAAAAATGGAAAACTCCAATCCAAAGACACATGGATATTTCCATCTTACAATTGGGGGTTTTTTGTTGAGAAGTGTGCACCCGTTTTAGAGCAACAGCTACTGTGCCCATCACAAACATAGTTTGCTTAGGTTAGCAGTTATTTGAGCAATATTCTGCAAGTGTGGCCCTTCTGGTTCTACACAGCTGGTGTCTGTGAGATATTACCCACTTTCCCTTGGCCTGGTTCAAGAGCATTCAACTTGTTCATGCTCCCAGATGTACGGCCTACTCATTTTTGGTTTAGTGTGCTTGGAGCTAGGGAGCAGTGTAGACATACTCTTGCATGCTTGGGTGATGAGTACCCAACTACATAGCATGAGTCTCATCTGAAGAGTAATACCCACATTGGCTTGGATTGAGTCATTTTGCCTTGTACACTCTATCTATACAAAGGGAAACCTTGGCCTGTGACCCTCAGGGAAAGGTGTTCTGCTGTTTTTACCATTGGTTTCTTCTAGCAAAAGTCAAGTCAGTATAAAACACCAGATCTGGGTAAGCCTAAGAGCTATTCTTCCAGGAGAACAGATCTGGAACTACTTGCAAGAGCCATAGACACATCTGAAGGTGTCCTGAAGAGTTGCCTCTTCTCTTTC